ATTGATTGATTGATTGATTGATTGATTGATTGATTGATCATCACTATATGTGCACCATCTCAATTCAAAACTCAAGCCAGCTATGTCTATACAAGAGTGAAAAAAAATCAAAATCTTGTTTCAAATATTTTTAAGAAATATCTGTAGTAAAAGTATGGCATTTCTCGTAGTTTATATATATTAAAATTATATATATAATTTTAATGAAATGATATCATTTCATTAATTAAAAAAAACAAAACAAAAACTTGTTTTAGCTTTAACATGCAACCCAACTCTTTATTCAGACTGTCTTCACTATAGATTTTCTTGTACCAACAAGAAGGACTTACCTGTAGGCAGGTAAATGGTGACATTGTTGCAGAAATCTGTGAAGCAGCATTCCCTCCTGGTTACATTCTTAGAACCGTGGCAAAAGATCTGTGCCTTCAGCTGCGGTAGGGAAACACATGCCTTTATTACTTCTTGCCGGCCATTCGATAGCATGACAGAAGTCCAACATGCTCCCTCCGTTTCACAAGTGAAGTTTGTTTTTTCACACAATTGGCACACACATGTTAAGCCTGAAATGATAATTAAGTCTTTGGTAGACAACAATGCCAAACAATGCACAGAATAATCCCAACCTAGACCATATTACTTTAGGCTACATGGCACTTGGAGAGATTTGTCTGAAAAAGAAAGATCAGGATGAAATTGTTTAGATTTTTAAACAGATCTAATATACAGGTAGTCCTTGACTTACAACAGTTCATTTAGTAATCATTCAAAGTTAAAATGGCACTGAAAAAAGTGACTTATAATCAGTTTTCACACCATTTTATGACCTTTGCATTGCAGCATCCTTATGATCGCTTGATCAAAATTCAGATGCTTGGCAACTGGTTCCTAATTATGATTGTTGCTGTGTCCCAAGGTTACATGATCACCTTCTGACAACCAAAGTCAATGGGGAAGCCAGTTCGCTTAACGTCCAAGGCAACAAAGGATGTAAAATAGGGCAAAACTCACTTAACAAATGTCTCACTTAACAACAGAAATTGTAGTCATAAGTCAAGGACTACCTATATTTTAAATAACATGTTTTTATACAGTGCCTTTGAGGGAGATATAATTTACCCTACCATCAAAAATCCTAAATTAAAGCCATGGATCATTTTTTTTACTACCTGTTCTGTGGGCGTGGCTTGGTGGGTGTGGCAGGGGAAGGATACTGCAAAATC